AGAGATGAGTGGTGTATGAGTGTTATATGAGTGTTGTATAAGAGATGAGTGTTGTATGAGTGTTATATGAGTGTTGTATAAGAGATGAGTGTTGTATGAGTGTTATATGAGTGTTGTATAAGAGATGAGTGTTGTATGAGTGTTATATGAGTGTTGTATAAGATATGAGTGTTGTATGAGTGTTATATGAGTGTTGTATAAGAGATGAGTGTTGTATGAGTGTTATATGAGTGTTGTATAAGAGATGAGTGGTGTATGAGTGTTATATGAGTGTTGTATAAGAGATGAGTGTTGTATGAGTGTTATATGAGTGTTGTATAAGAGATGAGTGGTGTATGAGTGTTATATGAGTGTTGTATAAGAGATGAGTGTTGTATGAGTGTTATATGAGTGTTGTGTGAGTGTTATATGAGTGATGAGTGAGTGATGAGTGAGTGTTGTATGAGTGCTATATGAGTGATGAGTGAGTGTTTTGTGAGTGTTAAGTGAGTGATGAGTGAGTGATGTATGAGTGTTATATGAGTGATGAGTGAGTGATGTATGAGTGTTATATGAGTGTTAAGTGAGTGATGAGTGAGTGTTGTGTAAGTGAGTGATGAGTGAGTGTTGTGTAAGTGAGTGATGAGTGAGTGTTGTGTAAGTGAGTGATGAGTGAGTGTTGTGTAAGTGAGTGATGAGTGAGTGTTGTGTAAGTGAGTGATGAGTGAGTGTTGTGTAAGTGAGTGATGAGTGAGTGTTGTGTAAGTGAGTGATGAGTGAGTGTTGTGTAAGAGATTCCCGTTAGCGGCGATCAGCGCGGCGCTGCCGCACGTGACGCTCCTCGCTCGGAAGCGGTGGGCGGGGTGACGAGGGGGAGGGGGCGGGGTGACGAGGAAGAGGGGGCGGGGGAGGATGAGGGAGGAGGGGGCGGGGGAGGGGGAGGGGCGGGGGGAGGGGGAGGGGGGAGGAGGTGCTTCAGGAGGCGAGGTATGGAGGGGGTGGTGGAGACGAGCACGAGATTGCGTGGGGGAGAGATGAGGGGGATTGTAGAGAAGCAAGGTGCGTGAGAGGGGGAGGGTGGAGGGATCGTGTGGATTGGGGGGGCAGGAGGATAGAGGGGGGGATCGTTGAGAAGAGACGATCAGGAGGAGGGGAGCAATGGGGAGAGGAGGAGACGCGGCCCCGCTGCTGACGACAGGGGTCGCCCTGGACGCGCCACGCGTGCCCGGGCCCTGCGGTGTTTGTGAACAGACAACGTGCACCCAGCCGGGCACACACAGACACACACAGACACAGACACACACAGACACACACACATACACACAGACACACACACAGACACACACACACACAGACACGCACAGACACACAGACACACACACAGACACACACAGACAGACACACACACACACAGACACACACACAGACAGACACACACACAGACAGACACACACACAGACACACACAACACACAGACACACACAGACACACACACAGACACACACACAGACACACACAGACACACACACAGATACACACACAGACACACACAGACACCTCTACTGGGCACGTACCTCTTGAGTGGGGGTCTCACGGGTAGGCCCCCGTGTGAGCTCCCGTCCCCGGATCGTTGGCTCAGCGCCGGGCCCCACGACCCCGCACCGCCCCCACCGCCCCCACCGCTCTCGCGGGGTCGTCTCCCATCCAGAGCGCGAGACGCGGCGCCCGGGGGTCGAGTCGGAGTTTAAAACCAACGCGAGCATCTTCGTGTCTGTGTGTGTCTGTGTGTGTCTGTGTGTGTGTGTCTGTGTGTGTGTGTCTGTGTGTGTCTGTGTGTGTGTCTGTGTCTGTGTGTGTGTCTGTGTGTGTGTCTGTCTGTGTCTGTGTGTGTGTCTGTGTGTCTGTTTGTCTGTGTGTGTGTGTCTGTGTCTGTATGTGTGTGTCTGTGTGTGTGTCTGTGTGTGTGTGTATATCTGTATGTGTGTGTCTGTGTGTGTGTGTCTGTGTGTGTCTGTGTTTGGGGGTGTCCATATGCATTGGTGCTGCTCGCCAACAGCACTTGCTCCTGCAGTCTGTTAAGGCTATACGGGGGATCTTTGTCTCTGTTTGTCTATGTACACGGTGGCCCAAAAGTCAGGATACACAGGATTATTTCATTGTTGTGAACACACTTTCCTACCGACTTCCAGTCACATCGACGCGCCCGTGGATTACCTTTAAAAATGAATTCGTGACTTTAAAAAAGTGACAGCTGCCTTCACGAGCGTACACAGAAAGACATTGAACTCGTTTGTTTTTAGTCAACTTTCTTTTTATTTGAAATATCGGTTGAAAAGTATGAAGCACAATCGATATTAATAACGATAATAGATACGAATTTTACTTAAAGAATAAACATTTAAATCGTTTAATGCCTGTGCAAATATAAATTAAATAACACTGTGTGTTCTGACTTGTTGACCACGCTGTATATATAACATCACGAGGTTCTGCGGTGTAGGGGTGAGCGCGCTGCACTACGAACGCAGCTACTCGAGTTTAATTTCCGCTAACAAACCAACACCGGTGACTATTATCTGAAGCCGGTCCTGTACCTCCCCTAGGTCGACTCAGCCTCACATGAGTACCTGGTGCGGTGTGTAAACATCGCCACTGGAGAGACAAAGGCAGTCGGGCGTAGTGCCTGCCACACACCCCCACGTGTGCCGTGCCGGCCTTCATAGGTGCACACAGACAGCAATTGCCCCAAAACTCTGTTCAGAAAGCTCAAAATTAAGATTATACGGGGGACCTTTGTCTGCGCTCGTTTGCGTGTTTGCGCTTTGAGGTGTTGGGGGTCCGTACGTGTGCGTGAGTGTTGCCCGCGTGTGTCTCCGTGGGCCTATGCTCGAGTGTGCAATGTCTCTGTATTTGTTTATCTGTGTCTGTGTGCCTCTGTGTGGCGCGTGTATTCATGTCTCGATGTGTCCGTCTAGCGGTTAGCGCGCTGCGCTGAGAACCTGGCGACCCGGGTTCTATTCCTGCTTACGGACGATTATCTAAACCGGTCCTGGGTCTCCCCTAGGTCAACTCAGCCTCAAATGAGTACGATGTGTAAACATCGCCACTAGGGAGACAAAGGCGGCCGGGCGTGATGTTGGCCACCCACCCCCTCGTGTGCCTTGCCGACCTTCATAGGTGCTCGCTAACAGCACTTGCCCCTACAGTCTGTTAAGGCTATACGGGGGATCTTTGATCTTTGTCTAGCAGTAATCGCGCCGCGCAACGAACCCGGCGACCCGAGTTCGATTCGCGCTCAGGGCCAACACCAATGACGAGTATCTGCACCGGTCCGGGGCCTCCCCTAGGTCAACTCTGTTAAACTATCGGGGGGATCTTTACCTTGTTTATCTGTGTGTGTCGGTGTGCGCGTGTGTCCGCGTCTGTGTGTGTGCGTCTGTGTGTGTGCGTCTGTGTGTGTGCGCGTCTGCGTGTGTGCGCGTGTGTCCGCGTCTGTGTGTGCGCGTCTGTGTGTGTGCGTCTGTGTGTGTGCGCGTCTGTGTGTGCGCGTCTGTGTGTGTGCGCGTGTTTCCGCGTCTGTGTCCGCGTCTGTGTGTGTGTGCGTCTGTGTGTGTGCGTCTGTGTGTGTGTGCGTCTGTGTGTGTGCGCGTCTGTGTGTGTGTGCGTCTGAGTGTGTGCGTCTGTGTGTGTATGCGTCTGTGTGTGTGTGCGTCTGTGTGTGTGTGCGTGTGCGTCTGTGTGTGTGTGCGCGTGCGTCTGTGTGTGTGCGCGTGTGTCCGCGTCTGTGTGTGTATCTGTGTGTGCGCGTGTTTGTGTACGTGTGTGTGTGCGTGTGTGTGCGTGTCTGTGTGTGTATTTGTGTGTGCGTGTGTTTGTGTACGTATGTGTGCGTGTGTGTCCGCGTCTGTGTGTGTATCTGTTTGTGTGTGCGCGTGTCTGTGTACGTGTGTGTGTGTCCGCGTCTGTGTGTATTTGTTTGTGTGCGCGCGTGTCTGTGTAGGTGTGTGTGTGCGTGTGTCCGCGTCTGTGTGTGTATCTGTTTGTGTGCGCGCGTGTCTGTGTAGGTGTGTGTGTGCGTGTGTATGTGTGTGTGTATCTGTGTGTGTGTGTGGGTGTGTGTGTGCGCTATTTAAAGACTGGGCGCTGCTGTTTTGACGGAGCGCGGCGCCGCCGCTCGTGACGCGGGCCGCGCTCCCCGCCCTGGTGGAGCTCCCCGCTCCGGGGTGGCATCTGGGAAGCGCATTCCGGACACCGAACACCACCACGCGAGCACTCTTCCCAACCCCTCCATCCATCCCTCCCTCTCTCTCTCTCACTGTGTGTCTCTCTCTCTCTCTCACTGTCTCTCTCTCTCTGTCTCTCTCACTGTCTCCCTGTCTCTCTCTCTCCCTGTCTCTCTCTGTCTCTCTCACTGTCTCCCTGTCTCTCTCTCTCACTGTCTCTCTCTGTCTCTCTCTCACTGTCTCCCTGTCTCTCTTTCTCTCTCTCCCTGTCTCTCTGTCTCTCTGTCTCTCTCTCTCTGTCTCTCTCTCACTGTCTGTCTCACTGTCCTCACTGTCTCTCACTGTCTCTCCCTGTCTCTCTCACTATCTCCCTGTCTCCCTCTCGTACCACGAAAATAAAACCACGCTTTGGGGGGAGGGGTTGGGGCGCCACCGCCGCCGCTCCAAGCGGGAGACGCGCGCGAGGTTCGCTTGTGAACGCGCGTCCCGGGCACGCGGAGTGTGAGGCTGACTGCGGATCCCCCCCCACCTCTCCGTCCCCCACCCTCCCCCATCCTCCGCGGCCCCTCCCCTCGCCATGTGGATACTAATGATCCGAAGTCTCGCTTTCGATTGGCTACAGCTGAGCGCGAATCCCCGGCCGGCGAGAGACGCAGCAGACGATAAATAGCGCAGCGCGCACGCGTTTGATGCTCATCTCTGGCGGCCGACAGCGCGCGCGACCCCCTCACACCCCGCCCCCCCCTCCCCCTTCCCCGCCCGCGGCACACGAACCGCGCCGGGCCACGCCGATGGCGCTGGGCGAGACGGCTCAGGCCACGGCGGCCTCAGCCGCAGGGGAGGTCCCCTCGTAGCCCGCCGCTGTCAGTACGCGCGGCGAGGCGCGGGCGAGGAGGCGGGCAGAGTGAGCCGGGGACCCCCCCCCACCCCCCACCACGCACACCCCGAGGACGCACCTCGTGGCGCCGGCAGGGAGCGACCGGCGGGACGGGACCCGCACTGCAGGGAGCCCGAGGGAGTTCCCCCCTCCCCCTCTCCGCCGATACTCGTGGGCTCGAGTGCGCGGTCAGTGCAAGGCACGCGTCTTCTTTTTGCGAGCGACACTTTGCGCCGCGTTCGTTATTCTCGCCCGGAGTGAGCATGGCCGCGGCGCTGACTCTCAACAGTAGCGATTTGCCCAACAACCCGATGGTGATGGAGTATGTGAATGACTTTGACCTTATGAAACTAGAAGTGAAGAAGGAGCCGCTGGAGCTGAGCCTGAGCCGCGCGTGCGGCCGCCTCGAGGGCTCCCTGTCGTCGTCTCCCATGAGCACCCCCTGCAGTTCCGTGCCGCCCTCCCCCACCTTCAGCGCGCACAGCCCCGGGGCGCCGCGCCCCAGCCTCGAGGACTTGTACTGGATGTCCCACTACCAACAGCCGCAGCCGCAGCAGCAGCAGCCGCAGCATCCACAGCAGCAGCAGCACGCGCACCAACCCCAGCAGCAGCAGCAGCAGCAACAGCAGCAGCAGCACCTAAACCCAGAGGCACTGAACCTGACCCCGGAGGACGCGGTCGAGGCCCTCATCGGCTGCGCCCACGCCGCGCAGGGCTTCGATTGCTACCGCGCGCCCGTGCCGCAGTTCGCGGGGCTGGGCACCAGCGGCCGGGAGGAGCTGCAGGGAGAGACCTCGAGCCACGAGGGTGGACAGCCGGCGGTCGCGAGCCACCACAACCACCACGGCCACAACCACCACCACCACCACAACCACCACGGCCACCACGGCCACGGCGGGACGTCGGGCCAGCAGCAGCACGGGGCACGCGTGGACGAGCGCTTCTCCGAGGACCAGCTGGTGTCCATGTCGGTGCGGGACCTCAACCGGCAGCTGCGCGGCTTCAGCAAGGAGGAGGTGATCCGCCTCAAGCAGAAGCGGCGCACGCTCAAGAACCGCGGCTACGCGCAGTCGTGCCGCTACAAGCGCGTGCAGCAGAGGCACCTGCTGGAGCACGAGAAGACAGAGCTGCTGCGCCAGGTGGAGTCCCTGAAGCAGGAGCTGGCGCGGCTCGCGCGCGAGCGCGACGCCTACAAAGACAAGTACGAGCGACTCGTCGTGGGAGGCGGCGCGGGTGGAGGAGGTGGTGGTGGTGGTGGAGGAAGTGGAGGAGGTGGTTATTTCAGGGACGCTGGCTCCCACAGCAGCGGCAGCCCTTCCTCGCCCGAGTTTTTCCTGTGAGTCTCCGCCGCGCGCCGGCCCCATCCTCCCGTCGCCTCCCCCCCTCTGCTGCGACTCGCGGCGCTCGCGCGATCGCCTCCGCGTGCCTCTCGCTCCGGGCCGTGCGGAGGGGTCTGAAGGCCGGGACGACTGGGACCTCTATGGCCAGTTGTCAACATCATCATCATCCGCAGCAGCAGCAAGCGCATCATCATCAACAACAACCACATCACCACCATCAGCGGCAGCATCATAATCACGATGATCATGATCATCATCATCCGCATCGCCACAATCAACTGCGTTGCCACCGCCGCCGCCGTCTGGGCGCTACGCTGCCATCCCCTGTCTCGTCGCGCGTCTGGACAAGCGGCGCGTGGTGGGGGGCGCGGGGCCGCGATCCAGAACCAAAGTGCGAGAGGAGGCTCCGTGACCCGTGACCCATGACCCGTGACCCGTGCTCTGTGACCCGTGACCCCTGCTAAGTGACCCGTGACCCGTGCTCGATGGGAAAACATCGCCCCTTCGCTCACGCGTCACGGCTTCACCTGGCGCGCGGGACTGACGGTGGCAACGATGGTGGCGATGAGGATGGTGGCGACGAAACCGCGCGTATTACGCACACGGGGACCCCACGCGGAGGGCGCACATTGAGTAGTACAGCGTGACACCCTGACACACACCGTGACACACACAGTGACACACACCGTGACACACACAGTGACACACACAGTGACACACACAGTGACACACCCTGACACACACAGTGACACACACAGTGACACACACACAGTGACACACCGTGACACACACAGTGACACACACCGTGACACACACAGTGACACACAACGTGACACACAGTGACACACGCAGTGACACACACAGTGACACACACAGTGACACACACACAGTGGCACACCGTGACACACACACAGTGACACACCGTGACACACACACAGTGACACAGTGACACACACACAGTGACACACACGCAGTGACACACACAGTGACACACACAGAGACATACACATATACACTCACAGAGACACTCACAGTGACACACACACAATGACACACACAGTGACACACACACAGTGACACACACAGTGACATACCGTGACACATCGTGACACACCGTGACACACCCAGTGACACACACACAGTGACACACAGTGAGACACACAATGACACACACAGTGACGCACACAAAGACACACACACAGTGACACACACACACAGTGATATACACACACAGTGACACACACAGTGTGACACACATACCGTGACACACAGTGACACACACCGTGACACACACAGTGACTCACACAGTGACACACACATTGACACACAGTGACTCACACAGAGACACACCGTGACACACAACGTGACACACACAGTGACACACCCAGTGACCCACATAGTGACTCACACAGTGACACACACAGTGACACACGTGACTCTCACACAGCACCACATGGTCACGAGTGAGGCGGAGAGAGCCACGGCAGAGCGGCTCCCGGGGAGCGGTGGTGCAGCGATTAGCGCACTGCGCTACAAACCTGGCGACCCGGGTTCGATTCCCGCTCACGGCCAACACCAGTGGCGATTATCTGAACCGGTCCTGGGCCTCCCCTAGGTCGACTCAGCCTCAAATGAGTACCTGGTGCGGTGTGTAAACATCGCCGCTAGGGAGACAAAGGCGGCCGGGTGTGGTGTTGGCCATAAGTGCTCGCTAGTAGCACTTGCCCCAGTCTGTTAAGGCTATACGGGGGATCTTTGTCGTTGTGTGTCTGTGGGTATGTGTATGTGGGTGTGTGTGGGGGTGTGTGGGTGTGTGTGGGTGTGTGTGGGTGGGTGTGGGTGGGTTTGTGTTGGTGTGTGTGTGGGTGTTTGTGTGGGTGTGTGTGGGTGTGTGTGGGTGTGTGTGTGTTTGTGTGGGTGTGTGTGGGTGTGTGTGTGTGTGGGGGGGTGTGTGGGTGGGTGTGTGGGTGGGTGTGGGTGTGTGGGTGGGTGTGTGTGGGTGTGTGTGGGGGGGGGTGTGGGTGGGTGTGTGTGTGGGTGTGTGGGTGGGTGTGTGTGGGTGTGTGGAGCGGAGATCGGCTGAATCGTAAGTCGCCGCTCCTCTGTTGCTGCTTTTCCACGGGCCATTAAGGGGCGAGTTACGACGCCTTTCACATTTACTGCTGTTTAGCGAGACCCATCGACTGCGTCGCCTTCCCATCGACTCGCATCGACGATTCGACGGCGCCAAAGCGGTCGCTCAAAAGAGCCGTGATAAAGAAAGAAGCGCGTCTCCGCGTGGAGGCCACACGGAGACGCGAGTCGCCCCACGTGCTCGCGGCGTGCGGCGCTGGTGACACCCTCCTGGCTGTCGCCACCGCTCAATAGGGGGGGGGGGGCGGCTGTCAATCACGGGAGAACTCGTGGAGTTGTCGGACGCCGTGCGCGGTCGCTCAGCCACACGGCGAGGTGACCACTGGGCGGATGGCCAGAGGTTGTCCGCCCTGAGTGGTTGACATCCCCCCGTGCTGGACTCCGCCGTGATGTTTGGGGGACCCTGCGGGCACCGTCCAGGGTTGAGCTGCCACGGGGAAACTCGAGGCGAGGTGTGACGCCGCTGCCTCTTTGCCTGCAGACAACAACATCATCATCATCATGAATCATCATCAACACCATCATCATCAGTGATCGTTACGGTGATCATCACCAGTGCACGGCGCGCGCCGTCACCGCGTGCTCGGCTCCCTGCGTGAGCACACGGCTCTTCCTCTGTGGCTCTTCCTCTGTGGCTCTTCCTCTGCGGCTCTTCCTCTGTGGCTCTTCCTCTGCGGCTCTTCCTCCGCGGCTCTTCCTCCGTGGCTCTTCCTCTGCGGCTCTTCCTCTGCGGCTCTTCCTCTGCGGCTCTTCCTCTGTGGCTCTTCCTCCGTGGCTCTTCCTCTGCGGCTTTTCCTCTGTGGCTCTTCCTCTGTGGCTCTTCCTCTGCGTCTCTTGCTCTGTGGCTCTTCCTCTGCGGCTCTTCCTCCGCGGCTCTTCCTCCGTGGCTCTTCCTCTGCGGCTCTTCCTCTGCGGCTCTTCTCTGCGGCTCTTCCTCTGTGGCTCTTCCTCCGGGCTCTTCCTCTGCGGCTCTTCCTCTGTGGCTCTTCCTCTGTGGCTCTTCCTCTGCGGCTCCTCCTCTGGCTCCTTCCTCTGCGGCTCTTCCTCTGCGGCTCTTCCTTTGCGGCTCTTCCTCTGTGGCTCTTCCTCTGCGGCTCTTCCTCTGCGGCTCTTCCTCTGCGGCTCTTCCTTTGCGGCTCTTCCTCTGTGGCTCTTCCTCTGCGGCTTTTCCTCTGCGGCTCTTCCTCTGTGGCTCTTCCTCTGTGGCTCTTCCTCTGCGGCTCTTCCTCTGCGGCTCTTCCTCTGCGGCTCTTCCTCTACGGCTCTTCCTCTGTGGCTCTTCCTCTGCGGCTCTTCCTCTGCGGCTCTTCCTCTGCGGCTCTTCCTCTACGGCTCTTCCTCTGTGGCTCTTCCTCTGTGGCTCTTCCTCTGTGGCTCTTCCTCTGCGACTCTTCCTCTGCGGCTCTTCCTCCGCGGCTCTTCCTCTGTGGCTCTTCCTCTGTGGCTCTTCCTCTGCGGCTCTTCCTCCGCGGTTCTTCCTCCGCGGCTCTTCCTCTGTGGCTCTTCCTCTGTGGCTCTTCCTCTGCGGCTCTTCCTCAGTGGTCTCTCTCTCTGGGAGTGCGGGGCGCGGCTCGGGGAGCCGAGAGGAACGAGCTTTCTCCTGGCAGAGGCGAGCTCCTCTCTCCTCAGTAAGGGCGCTCATCAGCTTCGTGTCACCGTGGTCGCTGCCGCCGCGATTTCTGCTGCTGTAACGCGTTTGAGACACGGAGGGGGGGCAGGAGGAACCGGGGGCTCCAGGGGGCAGTGATGCGGGGTCTCTTCCAGCCCCAACCTCTTTTCTCGGGGTGGGTGGGGGGGGTCCCTGACCGCGGCACGGGCTCGAACTCTGACCCCGCGTCCGTAGGGTTCGGCCCGCCACGCGTGAACGTGGCGGGCCTGGACTCTTCTTTCTCTCCCCACGTCTGTTTCCCGTTGTATTTATTTTGGGGGGTTGGGGGGGGGGGCTCTGCAGAGACGAAGCACCATCGTGAACAACAGACGGCACCGCGGGGACATCCCGTGTCAGAAGTTGTTGTCGTGCTAACTTCTCCCCTTGCACGCACGCGGGAACCCCGCTATGGGGGCAGGATGGACGCCCACACCCCACCCCATCTTTCATCCCCTTTAACGCCAATTAGCACGGGCCGCGAACACCGAGAGCCGTGATTTGAGTTTCAGTTCCGCTTTTAAAAACGACACCGCCCCCTCCGCGCCCTACAGCCTCCAACAAAACGGGGGGGGGGGGGGTGGTAACTGGACACCGGCCGCCGTCCAAGGTTAAACGCGCGCGGCCCGGCCCGGGGCCCCGCCTGAAGGGGCCGCGTGCACGCCGAGCGCCTCATTGGCGAAGCGGCGTAGCAGGTAAATACACAGATACACAAACACACAGACACATAAATACACAGATACACAAACACACAGACACATAAATACACAGATACACAAACACACATACAAACACACAAATACACAGATACACAAACACACATACACATAAATAACAAACACACAAACACATAAATACACAGATACACAGACACAAATACACAAATACACAAAGAGACACATACACAAACGCACAAACACATAAATACCCAACTACGTAGACCCATTAATACACACATACACAAATGCATACACAGTAATACACAAATACACACATACACAAATACACACATACACAAATACACAAATACATAATAAATACATGAACAAGTTTCGGAGTGCGTCGAGGTCCGTGGAGGTCCCTTCACCCCCCCCCCACCCCCTGCACAGCGGCTGCCACACGGCGGGACCAACCAGCACCACCACCACGCAGTCGACCCCTGCTCCGCGTCTCCTCCGGCCCTCTGTGTCTCGTGTCTCTGTGTCTCGTGTCTATGTGTCTCGTGTCTCTGTGCCCCGTGTCTCTGTGTCTCTGTGTCTCTGTGTCTCGTGTCTCTGTGTCTCTGTGTCCCGTGTCTCTGTGTCTCGTGTCTATGTGTCTCTGTGTCTCGTGTCTCTGTGTCTCTGTGTCTCTGTGTCTCGTGTATCTGTGTCTCTGTGTCTCTGTGTCCCGTGTCTCTGTGTCTCTGTGTCTCGTGTCTATGTGTCTCTGTGTCTCTGTGTCTCGTGTCTCTGTGTCTCGTGTCTCTGTGTCTCGTGTCTCTGTGCC